AGATGGAATGCCTCGTTTCTCGTACAAAGGGTTTCCGGTTCTCTACACTCACCATACGAAACATAGCAGCTGTTATGTGTCTATCCTATGCTTTTATTGTAAAGGCCTGAAATTGATGGTAAACCCTGTTACTAACATGTTATCTTATTACTCCCAACGTTGCCTACATAAACTATTCGCAAGAATTAAAAATAAATACCAAGTACGAGTCTTTCTCGTCATCGGAAATGTTTATCTTATAAATGGTGGTATATAGGTGTATGTATACGCAGTGTAAATATTTTAATTATTTTAACTTTAATATAAATATGATTTATTGAATTTGTAGATTTGAAGGTGGTTCAATTTGCCACAATTAAAAATTAATGATGAAATAGATTTTTTGAAAATGCGTATCAAAAATATAATTAAACTATGTATAAGCTTTTCATTTTAAGATGGGGGATTAGAGTTCAAATTTTATTTTGTTATTTTTTATTGCATATGCGCAATAATGGGTAATAAATGGGTTAAATAACGTGACTCTAGCCACGTAGCTACTTTTGTGCGCAAGGGACATCCTTGTTAACTTTTGTATTAATACAAAATGCATTTCTCGAGAAATGCGATACTAAGGTAAGAACGCACTTACGCACATGCACACGCTCAAACAAACACGCACGCACGCGCGCTTCTTCTCACACACATACGTTCCTTTCTTTTATAAACAATAGACTTGGACTATGTGAACGTCAAAACATGGTGGCATGTTAATATTTGTACTTAAAAATATCGGACCCATTACAAATTTCAAATTAGAAGTGAATTAGACCGCAAAGAACTTCAGTCAATGTAGATGATGGTTTCGCATATATGTAATTTAAAACTGTTGAATTAAATAGTTCCTACAACATATTGATTTTGCCACGAAGTACTAATATACGAGAGGAGCTCAACAAGTTTCGCGGAATGAAAGGGAAAGGGGGTAAAATTAAACAAAATTATTTTTCTTTTTCGATACATTCCCCATTAACCCGAATACACTTCTCAGACTGTTCAAATAACTTATTTATACCTTCGAAAAAAACTTTCCGATTGACTTAAATATCCTGTGATATCTCAAAGGTTAACGAACCCATCTGGCTGGAACTTGGTATTTATAGTTGTCACGAAGTAGTCACAGTTCAAAATCCCCCATCCCCTCTTTAACCCTTCCATTCCGCGAACTTTTTTATCCCGCGAAGATACAATAAGTAGTTTTGAAATGCCTTCATGACTGTCATGTGATGTATACTCAATTTCTTAATGTTATCAATATAGCATTACTCTGTTCCGTTACCATTAGCGTTACAGCGTCTCATAAGTCCACTGCAGAACTTAGACCTCCCCCATAGATTGACTCATAGGGAGGATATTTGCCATAGTTGCCACGAATTGCTTTAATTGGATTAACAACCGTTGTTTTTTTTTAGTTGTTATAAGATGCTGCTATCTGGTTTCTTTTTACCAGCGTATCGTCTCTTACCACCCACAGAAAAATATGGGGTACTAGATATTCTTACATGGCCACTACTTATCATAAACTACCCCAGGAGGGTATCAGTACCCCTGGAGAATCCCTCGCTAAGCATCCACGACCATGCTATTCCACTCCTGAGCGTGGGTGCTCAGGCTCATTCTGGGGGGAGCAAAATTCCGCTCAACACAATAACTGCTCTGGGCAAACTGATCAACAAGACCAAGGCGACCCCTGCAACATCAGGGGACTTTACTCAAACCTAAACACCGTCCACTACTATCTCGAGACGGCGAAGCCGGCCTTTCTCTTTCTGACCGGGATGCAGGTGTCCTCTCCGGCTGATACTTCGTATCTCTCCTACCCGGGGTACCAATTGGAGCACTCCTTTGTGTCTCGGGCTGGAGTTTGCGCGTATGTCAGAGAGGACATCTGTTCTCGACGCCTCGGCAGTCTTGAAGGTTCGGACCTGTCCATCCTTTGGCTACGCGCAGACAGCGACGACCATCCGCGCGTCTACGTGTGCCTCTATAGTTCCCATAGCGGTAATGCCGAAACAGACCGACTTATCGACCACTACAGATTCCTTGCTACAACAGGTCCTATCCGCAGAGATCGTGATCCTTGGCGATTTTAACGCCCACCACGCCGAATGGCTCGGTTCACGTTTAACCGATTATGCGGGGAGATCTGTTTATGACTTTGCCTTGGCATATGGTCTGACACAACTGGTTACTTCGCCTACGCGGATTCCAGATGTTGAGGATCATACACCTTCCCTGTTGGACCTCCTGCTGACCTCTCATCCGGACGGATATCAGGTTTCCGTCGATGCCCCTCTCGGCTCTTCAGACCATTGTCTGATCCGGAGTGTGGTGCCACTCACGCTCCCCTCGCGGTTGCGTTCTGCAGGTTGCCGCCGTGTTTGGCATTACAGGTCGTCGGATTGGGACGGAATGCAGTCTTTCTTTGCTTCCTACCTATGGGGGCGGGTTTGCTTCTCGCCGGATGATCCCAGCGCTGTTGCCGACTCTGTCACTGATATGGTGCTACAGGGAATGGAACTATTTATTCCGTCATCTGTGGTACCCATCGGAGGCAGATCTCAGCCTTGGTTTGGTCGCTCCTGTAAAACTGCATTACGCAGTAAGCAGGAGTGTTATCAAGCCTGGGCTGCGGCTTCAGCGACTCGGGATGTAAACACCAGCATACTTAAAAAGAAGTATAACTTCACCTCCAGGTCCTTCAAAAGAGTTATTGCCAAGGCAAATTCAGAGCACATAGGCAGAATTGGCGAGAAACTAATTCGCCTTCCTTCGGGAACCCGTGCATTCTGGTCTCTCGCCAAGGCTGTCCAAGGGAATTTCTGTAAGCCATCACTACCATCACTGCACAGGGAGGACGACTCACTGGCCCACGCCGCAAAAGAGAAAACCGACCTTTTAGGCTCCCATTTTGCGTCCAACTCGACTCTTGATGACGGGGGTAACACACCGCCGACCAACCCGCGGCGGTGGAGTGCTCCATGCCGGATGTGCGGTTCTCACAGCGCTCGGTTCGCAGAGTACTCCTCTCCCTTGACATCCACAAGTCGAGTGGGCCTGACGGAATCCCCCCAATTGTGCTGAGGACGTGTGCTCCGGAGTTGGCACCGGTTCTAACGCGTCTTTTCCGGTACTCCTAACTCCCTAGGCATAGTCCCGAAATCATGTAAGAGAGATTTTGTCCACCCGATCCCTAAAATAAGCGACCGCTCAGACCCGTCCAACTAAAGGCCTATCGCCATCACCCCCTTGTTCTCCAAAATAATGGAATCCGTTATAAACTGCCACCTCATGCGGTACCTTGAGGATCACCAGCTGATTAGTGACCGCCATTACGGTTTTCGTCGGGGTCGATCAGCTGGTTATCTTCTGGTCTACTTAACTCATAGATGGGCGGAGGCAGTAGAGTCCAAGGGGGAGGCATTGGCCATTAGTTTGGACATTGCGAAGGCATTCGATCGGGTTTGGTACAAAGTGCTTCTTTTCGAAGCTCCCTTCCTATGGGTTTCCCGAGAAATTATGCAATTGGATCACCAGCTTTCTTGCAGATCGGAGCATCAAGGTTGTTGTAGACGGTGCATGCTCCGACTACAAGCCTATTATCGCTGGTGTTCCACAAGGCTGCGTGCTATCACCAACGCTGTTTCTTCTGCATGTCAATGATATGTTGCAAGCCGGTAGCATTCATTGCTATGCGGATGACAGCACTGGTGATGCTCTATACACCGGCCGTGCCAATATTTCTCGGGAAAATGTCACCGAGTACCGGAACAAACTTGTGTCTGAAGTCGAGTCTTTGCTGGACAAAGTCTCGGATTGGGGGCGACTAAATCTAGTCCAGTTTAATCCTCAGAAGACACATGTTTGCGCGTTTACCGCTAAAAAGTTTACCTTGTTGCCTCAGCCAGTATCGGAATCCTCGGCGTCGACATATCGAGTGACGTGCAATTTCGTGGTCACTTGGAAGAGAAGGCCAAATCGGCCTCTAAAAAGCTTGGCGTGCTCAGCAGAGCGGGACAGTATTTCATGCCGGCTCAACGCCTGCAACTTTACACAGCGCAGGTTCGGCCTCACATGGAATACTGTTCCCATCTCTGGGCTGGGACTCCCCAGTGCCAGCTCCTTCCACTTGACCGCATCCAGCGCAGAGCGGCTTGAATCGTCGACGACCGAGTCCTTTCCGATCGGCTTGACTCATTGGCGCTGCGAAGAGATGTTGCATCTCTTTGCATTTTCTTTCGCATTTACCACGGGGAGTGCTCTGAGGAATTGTTCGGATTAATCCCAGCCGCCTAATTTCACGAACGCACATCGCGGCAGAACTCCCGATACCATCCACACCATCTGGATGATTGACGGTCCACCACTGTGCGATTTAGAAGATGTTTTCTTCCTCACACAACTTCCTTGTGGAATAGTTTACCACCAGCGATTTTTCCGGACCGATACGACTTAGACACGTTCAAGAAAAGAGCCTACTCCTTTTTAAAAGGCCGGCAACGCATCTGCAATTCCCCTGGTGTTGCCGTTGTTCATGGGCGGCGGTAGTCACTTACCATCAGGTAAGCCGCATGCTCGTTTGCCCCCTCTTATATAAAAAAAAAACATGGTTATTACTTACTGTGTTCAGTGCAATCTCAAAAAGATTTTTTTGCCTGTGATTCTCTAAGTCCCCCTAAAGGTCCCACTAGCAACTTATTCATCCTGTGCTTCCCAGAAAGAATTAATCGCAGGAAAGTAGTGAGGTCAATACTTAAACTTTACCAAACCTCTATGGGTGAAAGATAAGTACTGTGCCTTTTGCGTCGTAGATATAAGAGAACAACTGTGTATATCACATCCTATATGTGTACTTAATGTATCCACTGCATTTTTTAAATAAAATACACTTAAATGTTTCAGGTACTGCAATCGGCGAAGGAACAGTTGAAGTGGTCTTTGCTGAAATGAAACTAAATTTAACATTTAAAAGTTCTATAATATATTTACACGTAATACAATAAATAAAATGCAATTTTATTTGATAGCACTACCATCATTATATCACAATATTGAATCAACAATATTAATATAAAAAACCAATATTGATTTATAACTGTTTGGATATAAATTATTTTATTACCAATAACCCAAAAATATTCTTTACAAAGTCTTTGTAAAAAAAATCCTGAAGTTCTGAATTCCCCGGATTGTTATTTGAGACAAAAAATAATAAGAAATCTACGAACTCATACCAAACTCATCTGGTGTTGGTTTTAAGTTTAATTTTGATACCTCCTTGAAAGCTGGATTATTTTTATCTTTCAGTAATTTGAATAAAACATTTTCTGATGTACCCACAAAACATCCGATGGATTGAAAACGCTGAAATAGAAGAAACACAATACATAAATTTGCTAAATAAAAAAAAATATATTAAAACGTTATTACATTTCCTGCATGTCTTAATAATTTCAAAATATTATTAAGATTACAATAAAATATTAGTTTACAATAAATTTGCATGTACTAACTTTATGCGTGGCAGAGCCATGCTGCAGCTATATTAGTAGTATAGTTGTAGCACGAATGGGTCAGTTCGACCGGGGAAGGACCACGCTCTCACTGAATATCAGCGTAAAATGGCAGCTTGACACTGCTGTGTTTTGTATGGTGAGTGTAGAGAAGCGGATACCCATTTTTACTGGAAAAGAAGCATCCCATCTTAGTCCTCACAGGTGACAACCCATCTGCATTTTGATTCTTTATTGAGGATAAAAGTAGATGTCTATGGGCCACAGCAACCACTTACCATCAGGTGGATTGTGTGCTCGTTTGTCACCCTATCCTATAAACTTCTATCGTAATTTATTACCAACAGTTCTAATGTAAAATGATTTTTCAAAAGATACACCAAATCACTACAATACATTAATGATTAAACAAAGGCTTTCTGAAATATATTTAAAAAATGACTACCTCATTTTTCACCACTTTTGTTATAACTTTGCCTTAAAATCAAAACCCAATGTATCTATGGTGGGTTCTTTATTCAATTTTGATACATGTTTGAATAGTGGGTGGTTCTTGTCTTGCATCAGTTTGAACAAGACATTCTCTGAGGTTGTAATAAAGCACCCTATTGATTGCATGCGCTGTAATTATTAAATGTTATAGTAAAATATTGAGTACTCTGAACACAATTAGTTGTAATCTAGCTATATACATAACAAGTCTATTTGACTATTCATTTAAAAAAAATCATAAAAATTTGACTTCCATGATTCAATCACATTTATGATAGCTGATTCCTAAGTGAATCATCAAAACTTTAATATAACTGTCTCTCACCTGCAGAGCTAACCCTCTGTCCATCAATGACCTAGAAGAAACACCATCAGCCAATACATGAACACTTATGTCTTCATTCAGTAGGTCTATAACAGTTTGTTCAATACAAACATGAGCCTGAAATTTATACATGATATATATTATTAAATAATGCCATCATAATAAAATATATCACATATATAATGTATAATATGTCTGTTATCACACAAATTTAACAACAACTTCATAGTATAATAACGGTGGTAAAGCCACGCGGCAGTTTTTGCTGTTGCACTTATGAGCCGGCTCGAGCCGGGTTGGTACCACGACCTCACAGAATACCGGCGTGAAGTGGAAGCTCTGCTTCTGCGTTTCGTCTGGTGAGTGCAGGTGGCCGGAGCCCCCCCCCCCCCCATCAACATGGTAGCGGAATTACATGAAAGACTACCTCAGGAGGGTACCAGCACCCCTGGAGAATCCCTCGCTGAGCATCCACGACCATGCTATTCCACTCCTGAGCGTGGGTGCTCAGCCTGCCCCGCGTATTCTGGGGGGGGGGGGGGGGGGCAAAATTCCGCTCAACACAATAACTGCTCTAGGCAAACTGAGCAACAAGACCAAGGCGACCCCTGCCACGCTATCCGTGAATTTCTGCAACATCAGGGGACTTCACTCAAACCTAAACGCCGTCCACTACCATCTCGAGACGGCGAAGCCGGCCTTGGTCTTTCTGACCGAGACGCAGGTGTCCCTCCGGCTGATACTTCGTATCTCTCCTGCCCGGGGTATAAATTGGAGCACTCCTTTGTGCCTCGGGCTGGAGTTTGCGTGTATGGACATCTGTTCTCGACGCCTCGGCAGTCTTGAAAGTTCGGACTTGTCCATCCTTTGGCTACGCGTAAACAGCGACGACCATCCGCGCGTCTACGGGTGCCTCTATAGGTCCCATAGCGGAAATGCCGAAACAGACCGACTCATCGACCACGTCCAAATGGCTACAGATTCCTTGCTACAACAGCTCCCATCCGCAGAGATCGTGATCCTTGGCGACTTTAACGCCCACCACGCCGAATGGTTCGGTTCACGTTTAACCGATCATGCGGGGAGATCTGTTTAGGACTCTGCCTTGGCATATGGTCTGACACAACTGGTTACTTCGCCTACGCGGATTCCAGATGTGGAGGATCATACACCTTCCCTGTTGGACCTTCTGCTGACCTCTCATTCGGAGGGATATCAGGTTTCCGTCGATGCCCCTCTCGGCTCTTCGGACCATTGTGTGATCCGCAGTGTGGTGCCACTCACGCTCCCCTCGCGGTTGCGTTCTGCAGGTTGCCGCCGTGTTTGGCATTACAGGTCGGCGAATTGGGACGGAATGCAGGTATTTCTTTGCATCCTACCCATGGGGGCGGATTTGCTTCTCGCCGGATGATCCCAGCGCTGTTGATGACTCTGTCACTGATGTGGTACTACAGGGAATGGAACTATTTAGTACCCATCTGAGGCAGATCTCAGCCTTGGTTTGATCGCTCCTGTAAGACTGCATTACGCAGTAAGCAGGAGTGTTATCAAGCCTGGGCTGCGGCTTCGGCGACTCGGGATGGAAACACCAGCTCACTTAAAAAGAAATATAACTTCGCCTCCAGGTCTTTCAAAAGAGTTATTGCCAAGGCAAAGTCAGAGCACATAGGCAGAATTGGCGAGAAACTAGTTCGCCTTCCTTCGGGAACCCGTGCATTCTGGTCTCTCGCCAAGGCTGTCCAAGGGAATTTCTGTAAGCCATCACTACCATCTCTGCACAGGGAAGACGACTCACTGGCCCAAGCCGCAAAAGACAAAGCCGACCTTTTAGGCTCCCTTTTTGCGTCCAACTCGACTCTTGTTGACGGAGGGAAAACACCGCCGACCATCCCGCAGTGTGAGAGCTCCATGCCGGATGTGCTGTTCTCACAGCGTTCGGTTCGCAAAGCACTCCTCTCCCTGGACATCCAGAAGTCGAGTAGGCCTGACGGAATCCCCCCAATTGTGCTGAGGACGTGTGCTCCGGAGTTGGCACCAGTCCTAACGCGTCTTTTCCGGTGCTCCTACTCCCAAGGCGTAGTCCCGAATTCATGGAAGACAGCTTTTGTCCACCCGATCCCTAAAAAAGGCGACCGCTCAGACCCATCCAACTATAGGCCTGTCGCCATCACCTTGTTCTCCAAAATAATGAAATCCATTATTAACTGCCAGCTCATGCGGTACAAGCCTATTAACGCTGGTGTTCTACAAGGCTGTGTGCTATCACCAACGCTGTTTCTTCTGCATATCAATGATATGTTGCTAACTGGTAACATTCATTGCTATGCGGATGACAGCACTAGTGATGCTCTATACACCGACCGTGCCAATATTTCTCGGGAAATCGTCGCCGAGTACCGGAACAAACTTGTGTCTGAAGCGGAGTCTTTGCTGAACAAAGTCTCGGATTGGGGGCGACTAAATCTAGTCCAGTTTAATCCTCAGAAGACACAAGTTTGCGCGTTTACCGCTAAAAAGAACCCCTTTGTCGTATCTCCTCAGTTTCAAGGCACTCCCCTTCTTGCCTCAGCCAGTATCGGAATCCTCGAAGTCGACATATCGAGTGACGTGCAGTTTCGTGGTCACTTGGAAGAGAAGGCCAAATTGGCCTCTAAGAAGATTGGCGTGCTCAGCAGAGCGGGACAGTATTTCAAGCCGGCACACCGCCTGCAGCTTTACAAGGCGCAGATTTGGCCTCACATGGAATACTGTTCCCATCTCTGGGCAGGGGCTCCCCAGTGCCAGCTCCTTCCACTTGACCGCATCCAGCGCAGAGCGGCTCGAATCGTCGAGGACCGAGTTCTTTCCGATCGGCTCGATTCATTGCCACTACGAAGAGATGTTGCATCCCTTTGCATTTTCTTTCGCATCTACCACGGGGAGTGCTCTGAGGAATTGTTCGGATTAATCCCAGCCGCCAAATTTCACGAACGCACATCGCGGCAGAACTTCCGATACCATCAACACCATCTGGATGATTGGGGGTCCACCACTGTGCAATATAGAAGATGTTTTCTTCCTCGCACGACTTCCTTATGGAATCGATTACCATCAGCGATTTTTCTGGACCGATACGACTTAGGGACCTTCAAGAAAAGAGCCCCCTCCTTTTTCCGTCATTGTAGTCCCCTCGGGGTCTTTCACCAAGTTTTTGGATATCAGGTAGTCGTTCCTCCGAATACGCCTGATGTACATGGACGAAAACACGGTGATCCGGATGACGATCGGCATTCGGGTACCTTTCTCGATATATTCTGGCTGCGGCACTAGCGTTACATTCACATTCTAAGTAGATGAGGTTCATGTTTGCATATTCTTCGATTCGGATTACTCAAAGTAGCGTAAAAAACACAAATCACTGGTTTTTAACGACTGCAGAGTTCGAAAAATATCTTCTTCATACTATCGCGATAAAATCCGTAAAAACTGGTTTTATTTAAATGTGGTGTTCGCGTAAATATAACAAATCATTCTGTTGACAGACTTCACATGTCGTCGACATATTTTTTGCATTATAGGCTAAAGCAGCATGGCCGACTAATCTCTTCATAACCCTCTCAGGAAGGAGAAGAGATCTGTGCCCAGCAGTGAGGTAGGTGTAGGCTGTAAGTTTACTTTTTACTTTTACTGATTACATCTATTCTTACCCTGTCCGATATCATCATCATTACAGCCCTTCACAAGTCCACTGCTGAACATAGGCCTCCCCCAAGGAATGCCACAAAGACCGGTCCTGAGCCACCTCCAATTGGATAGGTTTCGTACTCTGGTTCTGTACTCGGATAGCCATCGTAGCCCTACTATACAAGCACTTCAGCACTTCGATATACCGGCAGTCAACTTGGCATCGCTGAAGGGACTGCAGCACCACCTAAATTTCGACGGAATCAAAGGCTTTCTCATAGTCCACATACGCCAGACATAGTGGCAAATTGTACTCCTCGGACTTCTGTACAATTTGCCGAAGGGTATGTATGTGGTCTATGGTGCTAAAGCCTTTTCGGAAACCGGCTTGTACGGGAGGCTGGAAGTCGTCAATTCTGCGCGCGAGACGATTCGAAATGACTCTCGAAAACAGCACGTAGACGCGTCTAAGAAGGGAAATCGGTCTGTAGTTCTTCAAGAGAGCGTTGTCACCTTTCTTGAAGAATGAGACCACCGCACTTCTGCTCCACGTCTCCGGTGTAGTGCCACCATGGAGGACGGAATTAAAGAGCTTCTGAAGGACTTCAAGTACCGGTTTTCCACCCGCTTTCAGAAGCACCGCTGTAATTCCATCATCGCCTGGGGCCTTGCCGTTTTTAAGGTGCTGGAGAGCCGTACTAATCTCGCTCAGACTGACGTCCGGGATATCATCGGAATAGTGTCGGATAAGACTCGCTCTTGGATCGTTACTCACACTTACACTTCCAACACGCCACACGCTCCAACGATGATGTGTACAGCTGCCCATAGAACCTCTCAATCTCACTCAAAATCTCAGGTGTCCCGGAAACGACGCTGCCACACTCGGTCTTCAGCTTCGACAGTTGGCTCTTTCTGGCATACAGATCTCTAGCAAAGACTTTGGAGCCCTGGTGCCTCGTGATCGCTTCTTTAATACGAGCAGTATTAAAGTTGCGTAAGTCCCGCCGCATGCATTTGGAGATCTGTCTGTTCAGTTGCCTGTATGCTGTCAAATCTACTGAAGACTGTAGCTTCATATCCCGTCTAACAGCCATGAGATTAATAGTGTGATCGGATAGTTTTTGTGTTCTTCTGCGGCGGGTCTTGCAAAACTTAGCTCCGACCGCATGGACAGTTTCCACGAGCTTGTCATTCATATTGTCCACTGCATTGCAATCTTTTAGGCACTGAAAACGGTTTCGTAGCTCGAGCTGAAAGGTTTCGGGACTTTGGATTTTTCTTTGTCCAATGTGCTTATGCATTATTATATTATGTGAAGACGAAGTATCCGAGACATAGGACAATCACAATACATTCAGACCTAAAAACCAACACCTCATAGTAGTCAGGAATTCTAATATTACCAGATGCATTAACTTGTTCAAATCTAGTACTAGACTAGGAAGTAATGTCAGGTTATGATAATGGCCCCCAGAAGGGAGGCTTGGTAGATGTGGCTAGGTCACCCACGGCACAGTCTAAGAACATAGAACGCCATCGAAGACGTCTCTAGAAGGGGAATTCGTGCGATGCGGTGAGGAGCGAGACGCGGGCGGTGTGCTCCAGAACGGGTGAATATCCACTTATCAGTCGTTCAGGAGCTGTCCAGCAGGGCTGTCCGGTTATATTGTATTCCAATCTGGAATAGACAGCTCATCAGTTCGACAGATGAAGCGATTAAGGAAATATACCACAGTTAACTATTTTTTATAATTAATATTTTTGGTTGTAACTGTGTTTATTAAGACCTTTTTGTCATGTCTACAGACTGTGTCCACATTTGACTGTGTGCACTGTGGTCTGTAGGAGAAGGGTTGTCCTCTCCACTTTCCCGTCGCAACCTAGGTACAGGCATTGGTAATAAGAGTATTGGTATGGCGATGCACCACTTGCCTTATCTTTCGTAACTTTGGCGGAGTCGGTATTGAAAAGCGCCGCTCTCACTAACTTGAGCGGCGACGGGGCCATAAACCAAATCTACTGTTGTGGTCAGGAAGCTGATGCTTCCGAGTGTTCGTTTTCCCTGGGCTTATGGACTACCCATGGCATCGGGCTCTGGCATCATTTCACAGGTGGAATTGGAGACTGTGGAGGAAGACTTTATGTTCTGGTGCACCTTACTTGAGAAGGAAAAGGTGGAGTTGTTCTCTCGAGGACTCGGTTGGCGCAAGTGAGGCCGCGTATGTTTACGAAAGTTCTCATAGCTCTACCAATGTGAAAACATAAAACTCCATGAGGTTTTAGTCAATGGAGTCTAATATAACTTATCCTTGCTGCCACAATACTGAAATGCAGTCTTTCAAAAAAAATAATCAAAAACAATCTCAGAGTATGAAAAAGGAGAATCAGGTTTTAATACCAAGAGATTGTGCTTTGCATAAGTAGCTTGCAAGATCTCGCAACTAGGTATCAGATACTCTGAACGTCCTTGCCTCTGCGAGACGGGTATGCGTAGGCATTTCCCCATAAAAAAATGGTATCAGATACTCTGCGCTCTACTAAGACATTATGTAATATTATGTTGCATAGTTTAACAAACTTGAAACAGAACTAACCTCAATACCAAACAATACAACAGAGCTCAAACTTGGCACATCTTTTTTCAGTCTTTCTTGAAGTTCTGGAGTGTACATTGAAAATTTAGTTTTCTCATAAACCATTGCAGCTTCAGCTACATTAATATCTTTTGTAGTATGACCTAGTCCTTTTGGATATTGCTCTGACACATAGACAGGTATCTTGAAAAGTTTTGCTGCAGCCATCTAAAATAGTTACAACAGATTTTTGTTAAGCTATATATTTTTATTATTTTATGTGTGAATGAGTCATCAAAAGGATATTTTGTTTTGAGTTGTTTTGTAATAGCGCTCTCTATAATCTACTTCATTCTGTATGTAGTCATTTTATCAAACAAAAATTGATCGACTCTCAAGGTGGTAAGTAAAATTGACACTAGATGACCTGAAATTATGAAATTGTGGATTCTTCTAAATGGATTAGTATATTAAGATAATTTTATTTAATATGATTAACTTTATTTATTTAATAGTTAAAATTTATATTAACCATCCCAACAAAGCCAGCTTGCATATCCCAAATTATTCCATCAGTTTTTTCATAACTCTTTCAATAACCTTAGCATAAAGACAGAATTTCTTATGAACTACAACCAAATACAAAAGGTCAGTTTACACATTATTTTATCAAAATGTGTTTGTGATTGTTGTGTTCTCGGAAAACAATTAAACAATATATGAGTGCTGTGGTGTGCATATTTATGATTTCATGTTATTAGCTATTTAGAAACAAAAATGAGAGAAGAACTATTGTTTTAAAATGCTGTAGATTGATGTTTTTGAAAATGAAAAATGTCTAGTGCTGCTACCACATTTAAATTTATTAACTATGAGAGAAGCCCATGTGTGAAGCTGGTACTTACATATTGCTGATGAAGATAAGAATCTGTTGAAAAAATAGAAAAAACATTGGAAAACCTAAAAGAGCATGCTTCATGAGCTTTTGATGAAAAAATAAAAATAGTGGTGATAATTTTTACAAGAAAAAAAAACACAATCTAATCGACTTTCATTAATATTTTGAAACTGTAGTTAATGTAATGTTAATAATAATATGGATTTGATGTCTAGCTAAAAGGATAAGAACGATTTTATGTAGCGAAATCGAGGTATGGCCACATATGGGAAGTAGAGCAGACCCTCACATTGTAAGGCATGCAATAATGTCCATCCAAAAACAAATAATGTCTAAAATGGAATATGTATAACGAAAAAAGCCTAGGAGCATGTTAAACTTAAAAATGTATAATGTTATGTCTAACATATAAAAAAAAAATAGTTTTCTGGTGTAATTCAAAGAAATTAATAAAATAAATAAGTTTAATTTATGTTAAAAGCAGTTACCTACATCTTTCTGTAAGGTCTTTTATGAAGGTAAATAACATATTACAACACAATAATGCATACTTCTATGGCAGATATGATTATTTTGAAGTGAAATTTTAATGTGAAAAATATTAGAAATCTTAGCAGTGTGGAAACAGCTACACTTGTTTAGCTTTAGCTATTTCCATAGCATAATGTCATATGGAATTTTGTTATGAGGACACGCAACTTACAATGAAATTATATTTGTTTTACAGAAGCTAATCGCTCTGACAAAAATTTAAGGAAATGAATAATATTAACTTTGGCCTCTCAATACATTTATGAAAATGTAATGTACATACACAAAAATATAGGTAGTTATACAAAAATAAGTGATATTCATTCCACTTACTCGACTCTACCAAGTCAGTAATTCATTCTTGGGGTGATGATATATATCCTTTTACAACAAAATCCCAGAAAACATACAAAATTTGATCGGCTCAAATTTCAAAAACTATTTAAAAAAGTTTGTATAAAAAGGTTTATTATAATATTGAGGAATTTATGGATGGTAATAACCCCTGGGAATGAGGTGATTGCTACCAAGCTATTTCTAATTTATTTTGTGTGGTTAATTGTGTAACATACATGATTGTAAGCTGTTATTATAAAAAAAAGTCCCACTGGGTTTCTTGCTAGTTCTTCCCAGGACAGCGGTTTTTTTCGTACCAGTGGCTTTGTGACTTTGACTTTC